CTGAATTCATTCAGAAGTTTATCCCTATCTTCCTTCAGCTCTATTATTACCTTGTTTGTGTGTTCTTTAAATTCAGTGAATTCTTTTATCATATTCATCATTGTTTTTTTGAGTTCCATGTCCTGCATTGTCTCTAGGGGATTCTCATTGTGCTCCTCTAGAGGATTACTGGTATTTGGTGGGGATATGTTATTTTGGTTTTTCATGTTATTATTTTTTCTCTGTGATTTTGACATGTGAATTTCTTTTGTAGTTTCTGACTCTTGTGTGATACTCGGGCCTTCAAGTTTAGTTCTGCTTCTTTTATTTTTGAGCTTTATGTGTCTTTGTGGTTTACTTTTTGGGTATGAAGAGCTGGTTCGTCTTAGCTTCTGGTTCTCTCTTTTGATTTTATATTGTCGAGGCCGGATTGATTTTGTCTTCAGGAGTTCCGCGGTGGCCCAACTCCAATGTGGATCAGAAGTTTTCAGACTTTCTCCTTAGGTCTGGAATCTTCTAAGAATGCTTTTGGCCTCAGGAACTTGGGTGGCACTGACCTGAGACCCTTGCCGTGGATGCGCCACGCAGGGAAGCAAAGGCAGATGGGGAGGGAAGAAGCCCCAAGATTTCCCAGGGAGTGGATTGAGTAGCTGGGTTGTACTGGATGCAAAGGGTCGGGGGGAGTAAAGGTAAGCCTCGGAGCCCTAGAAAGAGGCTGTCAGCCCCAGAAAGAGGCTGGCGGGTGTTGGAGGACCAGGGAAGTAGAGCGAGGTGAGGGCAGGGCCAGGACCAGAAGTGGTGCTCCTGGAGCCCAAGAAAGGGACTGGGTTGCTCTGGGTGAGAAGGGTCAGGAAGCAGTATTGGTTCCCCAGGTGTCTGGGGCCCTTAGACTAGGAATGGCGCAGGGCCCAAACTAGGAGTATAGAACGGTGAGGGGAGGGGCGATGGAAGGGTGAATGAGGCTTAGGGAGTCCCGGCGCGGAGAGCTGCACTATAGACTTACCCCAAGAGGCCTGAGGATAGTAGTGCAGGCTAGGAGAGTTAGCCGGTGGTCTAATTTTTAATTTTTAAATTAGAAAGGACCTAAAAGAATTTTCTTCCATAACCAATTTATTGAATTATTACATACTATTAATTAACTTCCTTCAAATATACAGTTCATTGGTTTTTCATATTTACTGAGTTGTGCAGCCAGCACCACTAAATCCAGAATATTCCAAAAAGAAACTAACCAGTTAGTCCCCATTTTTCCCTTCCCCAGCTTCATGGTAACCACTTAATCTTGTCTCTGTTCACCTATTCTAAAAATTCATGTAAATGAAACCATGTAATATATGGTCCTTTGTCCCTCCCTGACTTTCCCCTTAACATGTTTCTGTTCTTTCAATAATACCTTTTTATTAATTACATTTATTTATTTAGTGTATATGTGTGAGCATGCGTGTACCACAGAGGTCAGAGGACAACTTGCAGGACTTGTTTCTGTCCTTAGACCACAGGGATTTGACACCTCAGGCCATCAGACTTAGCAGTAAGCACGTCTATCTGCTGAGCCATCTCACCAGCTGTCCTAGTCTGTTTCTCCATTGCTGTGACAAAACACTCTGACCAATATCAACTTGGGGAGGAAAGGGTTTATTTAGTTTACATATCCCGGGTCACAGTTCATCCAGGAGCCCAAGGTAGGAACTCAGGGCAGGAACCTGGAGGCAGGAGCTGGAGCACAGGCCATGGAGAAACGCTGCTTACTGGCTTCCTCTCCTGGCCCCTGCTCAGCCTGCTTTCTTATGCTACACAGGCCCACCTGCCCAGGGGTGGCACCACCCATAGTGGGCCTGGGCCTCCCACATCACACTCATCAAGAAGATGCCCCTCAGACATGGCCACAGGCCAGTCCAGTAGAGGCAATTGAGGCTCCCTCAACCCAGATGACGTTAAAGCTATCCAGCACACCAGCGCTCTGTATGTTTTTAGTGTTCATGTTGTAATACTTAGCGGTATTTCATTCCCCTTTATTTTTTTTATGAGTGCATTGTCTGCATGTATGTGAGTGCACCTATGTTGTGCAATGCCATGGAGGTCAGAAGAGGGCTTTGGATTCCCCTGGAACTGGAGTTAAGGACGGTTCATAGCTGCCATGTGGGTGCTGGGAGTCGAACCCTGGTCCTCTGCAGGGCAGTCAGTGCTCTTAAACACTGAGCCATCTCTCCAGCCCCTCATTCCCTTTTATTGGCAAACAACATTCTATCATGGATCTATTTTGTTTAACCATTCATCTGTTGATGCAATGGCTCATTTCATTTTTGGTATTGAGAGCAGTGGTACAATAAACATTTACGTACAAGTTTTTTGTGGTCGTGAGTATTCTTCTCTCTTGGGTATATACCCAGGAATAGAAGTGCTGAGTCTGAAGATGAGCAGGTTTAACATTTGAAGGGACGTTGAGACCTTGTCCCAGTGACTGCACCTCTCTGCATAGGATGTGCCTCTGGGGGTTCTGGTCTCTTCACATCCTCACTGTTGGTAATGACTTCCTTTCTAGCCATTCTAGGGTAAGTGTCAAGTCGTTTATCATTGTGTGTTATGTGTTCCCATTGGGTTGACTGTTTTTACTATTTCTTTAGAGAAATTGAAGTTCACTGTTTAATTTTAGTTATCTTCTTACTGAAGAGTTATAAGAATTCTTCATCTACTCTATGAAAGTCCCTTTTCAATGCATGATTTTCAGGTATTTTTCTCCAACTCTGTGGGTTGCCATTTCACTGTTTTTATTCTTTTTTCTTAAACCACGGCCTTGCTACGTAGCTCAGGTTAGCCTAGAATTTGCTGTGTAGCTTAAGCTGACGTTGAATTTACAATGCTTCTGCATCAGCCTCTTGAGTGCTGAGCACCACCATGTCCAGCTTTCACTTTTTCGGTAGTGTCCTGTCAAATAAGCAGCAGAGCTTTTAAATTTAAAAAAAAATTGATTTATTTGTATTTTATGTGTGTGGGTGTTGTGCCTTCATATATGCAAGTGTGCCCATATTGTACAAAGCCTGCATAGGCCGGAAGAGGGTATTAGATCCCCTGAAACTGGAGTTATGCATGGTTGTTAGCCACCATGTGGGTGCTGAGAATCAAAACCAGGTCCTCTGGAAAAGCAAGCAGGTCTCTTAACCACTGAGCCATCTCTTGAGCACCCCCAGAGCTTTTAAATTTTGATGAAATCCAATTTATTTCTTTTTTTTTCTTTTAGTCCCTTGTGTGGCTTTTGGTTCAGGAAGAGTTTTTATTCATTTGTTTTTTGTGGTACAGGAATCAAATTACTGGGCCTTACAAATTCTAGGCAAAGTATCACTGAGCTACACTAATCTTTATTAGTAAAATTTCATTTCTATGATTAGAAAAAATGAAATTCGGCTGGGCGTGGTGGCACATGCCCTTAATCCCAGCACTCAGGAAGCAGAGGCAAGTGGATCTCTGTGAGTTCAAGGCCAGCTTGATCTACACAGTGAGTTACAGGCCAGCTGGGGCTACAGGGAGACCCTGTCTTAAAAGACAAAAAAAAAAAAAAAGTGCTTGTTAATAAAATTCTTACTTTGTAACAACTCACTAAAACTCAACAATGGGTGTCAATTTTTGCAAAACTTTTCCCAATTTAGATATTTGGTCTTGCCCCTCCCCATTTAGAAATATTAAAAATAAACTAACTTCCAAATTTGAATATGATGGCTTTGCTGTTTATGGTACCACATTCATAAAGAGTAAAAATAACTTTTTTCAGGAAACCTGTACAACAAATCTTTTTTTTTTTTTTTTGCGGGGGCGGGGTGTCTTTTTGAGACAGGGGCTCCCTGTAGCCCCAGCTGTCCTGGAACTCACTATGTAGACCAGGCTGGCCTTGATCTCACAGAGATCTGCCTGCGTCTGCCTCCCAAGTGCTGGGATTAAAGGTGCGTTCCCCCACACCTGGCTTTATCTTTATGTTAGTTTGCTTTAACTGCAAACCACCACAGTCCTCTTGGGAATCACATTCCTTTGTATTTTCAAAACTATGTGTTTATAGAACTTAAGGGAGAACTTAACCTTTTCAGTGATTTAATCTCCTCTTAGCATTTCTTGTATTACTTAGTTTTTATAATGAAGTAACTATTCATTATGAAAATAAATGAGATAGTACAGAAATATATAAAAGGAAAAAGGAAATGTCCCCACTCTGGACCTCACACCCTACTCCCACTCTAGTGGCAGTTACTGTGAAACTGTTCTGTGTCTATACATGGATGGATATACATCTATAGACACTCATGCTTTTTTATAAAGCCTTTTTTATAACTGAGAAATGAAAGAACACTAAGGTCACAAGTTAATCCTGCTACTAGAAAATCTTTCTGTAGTATTCAGTACATAGTCAAACTTGCTTCATGCTAATTGAAAGCAAGTTGGCACCATAATAAATTTTTATAATATAGCCAGTTTTCATAATTACTATTCTGAGATTTAAATTTTTTTGTGGCATTTTAGGACTTGCTTTTGCCTGAAATGGAGGCTCCTGTTTTACCACCATATTTATCTTCATTCCTTCCTCCACCAAAAGAGCTGTACACAGTTCAAGTTAAGCACATCATCTCGCCTAACGAAGTACGTGGTCACAGCGGTCAAGATCAAAGCAGCTATCTTGTCTTAAACACTAAGATTGACTCTTCACTTTCTCCATCCTCCTGACTGTAAATAATGGGAAATTGGTGGTCTCCATTTGGCCCCACTGACAGGTGGTCTTCAGATAGTTGTTAGTACTTCAGAACACAGGTGTTTTTTAAGCACCTGCTGATTTCCCAGAATCATGTTCTTTTATTTACTGTGATGTTTATATGGATTATTTTAGATTTTTAAAGTAGATTTTCCTCCTCTGTGAAATCTTAAATATCTCAGTCCTGTAGCTCTCCCAGCACTGAACTCAGTACTCTTTTCTCTGCTCTCTGATTTTCCCTACACGTAGGGCATTCCACACATTTTCCTATTCTTGGTGTTTGGCTGCTTTCCTCTTTAGAAGGTAAGTACATGAAAATGGGGGTTTAGTCTCTGCTCTTAATTATGTCCTCAGAACCTAGAATAATATCTGATGTATAATGATCACTTGATAAATACTGACTAAAGAAAATTTGATGTCCTTAGCTAACAAGAAGGTAATAAAAGCATGGCAAGTCACACTGGCATCTCCTTGTCTTTCAGAGTAAACCAGGCAAGGGAAAAGTCTGCTGTCTAATATCATCAGATCATACCTTGCACAATTACTGTTGGGTTATGTAATTTTTAAAATATTTTATTATTTTTTATGTGTATGAGTGTATTGCCTGCATGTATGCAAGTGCACCCGTGTCTTACAGTGCCCACAGAAGTCAGAAGAAGGTATCAGATCCCACTGAAGCTGGAGTTACAATTGTTAGTTGATATGTAGGTTCTGGGAACTGAACCAGATCCTCTGCAAGAGTAGCCAGTGCTCTTAACCACTGAGCCATCTCTTCAGCCAGGGTTATATAATTTTTTGTATTATTTATTGCTACATAACAAATTACCCCTAACTTATCATCTTAAAAAAATATACGTGGAAGCCAAAAGATGGCTCAATGGGTAAAAGCACCTGCCACCAAACCTGACAATCTGAGTTTAACCCCAGAACCCACATGATGGAAGGAAAAAACTGATTTCTTCAAGTTGTCCTCTGACCTCTACATGCATACTATATTATCTGTGTGCCCCACCAGTATAAATAATTTTTTAATTAAAAAATGCATGATTCAAAAACCAATGGCTACTTAATTCAGTCTAGTCCAGTATCCTATAAGGTTGCCATTCAGGTGCTGGGGGGGACTGTGGAATCCACTTCTCAAAAGTCACACATTGCAAGGTGGTGTGGTGCATGCCTATAATTCCAGCACCCTGTAGGTAGAGGCAGGCAGATTAGTAGCTCAAGGCCGGCCTAGGCTACATAGCATGCTGGAGGCCAGCCTAGGCTACATAGCAAGTTGGAGGCCAGCCTTGGCTATATGAGACCCTGTCTCAAAATAGATCTTCATATGACATGCCTAGAAGACTCAGTTATGGCTCTGGGGCCCTTTCAACCTGCTAAAAATGTGACTATGTACATCCTAGAGTACACAGTCCCCAACAAGACCACCACAGGACAGAAGCCACCTGTCTCTACAGTCCAGTCTTAGCAGTCACACCCTTGCTTCAGTGGTCTGAGCTACAAAAATCAGTGTGGCAGGGTGCAGGGGGAACCCCACAGGGGCAAGTAGCAGGAAGCAAAGATCACTGGGGCCCTGGTTGGGGACCACCTGTAAGTGAATTACAGAAATTAAGAATTTGAAAGGTTTTTCCTTCTCTTGCCCCCCACATAGGTTTATATTTGCCTTGACCCCGTAGAAAGCTGTAGTCAGTTTAACCATCATAGTGACACAGATGACAGTGGAATCAGCTGGGAGTCAGACTCAGAGAACCTGGAAGAAGCTCTGCAGAGGTTGAATAAGTGTGTGGAAACGTTTCCGCCTCTGACGGATTTTAGGGCAGGTATGTTTATGTTCTGAATGACAGGATTCTTGGTAAGACTTGGTTTTTGTTCTAATGAGCTAGGGAAGTTATTTAGATTATTTGTAATGCTAACTCTGTAATGTTTCGTCTCCCCAACTTTACATGTATGATCTCCAAGTTCTTTTTTTTTTTTTAAAGCTAGGATCTACCTTTTCTTATCAGATAATCTTGCCCTTTTAAAAAATATTTTTTATTATTTTATGTGTATTGAGTGTATTGCCTGCATATGTATAAGTGCTCCCATGTCATGCAGTGCCCATGGTCAGAAGAGGGCTTCAGATCACCTGGAACTGGAGTTATGGTTGGTTTTTAGCCACCATGTAGGTGTTGGGATTCAAACCCAGGTCCTCTGCAAGAGCAGCCAGTGGTCTTAACCACTGAGCAATCTCTCCAGCCCATGATCTCTAAATTCTAAAGGTGCCCTGGAGATCACCTCTCCCATTTTCTAGGTTAGGGAGGTAAACTAAGAGAAGCTGAGTAACTCGTAACTTCTATGGGACAATTTTCACTCTGAAGTCAGGATGCGTTGGAAAACTGCCTGCATAATTACATCAAGATGATTTTCTAAATTAGAGATTTCGCCACTAGCTTAGATTGTGAAAGTTGTCATTCAGACTATAATGGCAGTCATTTTAACTACAAATAATTTAAACTGGCAATTTTTGAGGTAGGGGCTCAGGCTGTGCTGGTTTATCAGGATAGGTAAAAATTGTCATTTCTTTCTTTCCAACCTATTTTTCACATCTTTATTTAAATAGGCATGATTCTCTTCTGAGAAAAATTTACCCACGTGATTGACAGTTCCTGAATACCAAGTGTATCTGCACTCTTTCCTCAATATGCAATACATTGAGATGTATTTATCTGTGGTCTTTCCCATATGAGGATATTTAAGCAAGGGGAAAAAATGCCAGGCTCATGTCTTGTCTGATTTAATTTAGTAAGGTTTTAATTGGTGGCAACCTGTGTTGGCTGATTACTGCTTACAGTTCCTTTAAACTGTGACCATTTTCTGCTCAGCTGTTCCCCCGACCTCTCAACATAAAGCAACTTCACCCTCCTTGAGCCCCATTTGCCGTTCCTCCTCTTCAAACATTTTCACAGTAGCATTGTAAGCAGCTACATCTGTTGGGCAGCAGCAATTAGAAGGGCACCTGTGTGCTTAGGTGCTCATAATTACCAAATAAGTAAAGAATAAACTCATCTGGTAGCTTTTTGTACCCCTAGTTTTATAGTCCAGAAGGAACTATTCAATACTTCTTGTTTTATTCATACCAGTGGAAGTTAGTCTGTCTAGAGCAGTTTATGGATCTAAAAATAATTATTTGTTCATTTCGTGGGTACTTTATGCCTCCATACATTTGTTTTTGTAGTGCTTGGGGATCAGACTTGCTGAGCAAGTGCTCTACCACCTAGCTACATCCCCAGCCCCTTTTTCTTTGAAGCAGGGTTTCAGTACGTAACCCAGGTCATGGCAATGTGACCTCAGCTGTGGAAGTAGAATTAGGAATTCTGAGGATGGGCAAGTGCCTTTCTTCAAAGCTTAATCCTTAGCAGTTAGTAAGGAAGAGTTGATAAAATGTAAGCAGAAAAAAAAAGAGAGGCCAGCATAAGGCTAGCCAACCAGTATTTAATTCTGGATGAACATGTGACTATACATTTATTTATTTGTATAATTTGGGGGGGAGAAAATAAATGACAGTTTTACAATTTATTCCTTTTGTCTGCCTCTCCAGAAATGCCTTGCCTTGCAGAATATGTTGATGGTTTATGGTATAGAGCAAAGATTGTTTCCATTAAAGAATTTAATCCTTTATCTGTCCTGGTACTATTTGTTGATTATGGATCTACTGAGAAGCTGACAATAAACAGGTAAGGGGTCGAGGAGTTGAATAGGATGCTTTTTTATTTTGGGGGATTTATTTTTATGTGTATGAGTCTTGCCTGCATGTAAGTGCACCCATGTCATACAGTACCTGCAGAAACCAGAAAAGGGTGTAGGACTCCTGGAACTGGGGTTACAGATGGTTGTTAGCAGCTATGTGGGTGCTGAGAACCAAATTTAGGTCCTCTGCAAGAGTAATCAATGCTCTTAATCACTGAGCTATCTCTCCAGTTTCCTTTTTCATTTTTTGAGACAGGGCCCTCCTGCAGCCCCACCTGGCCTGGAACTCTCTATGTAGACCAGGCTGGCCTCAATCTCACAAAGATCCCCCTGCCTCTGCCTCCCAGGTGCTGGGATTAAAGGCATTCACACCACACATGGCCTAGGATGCTTTTTCAGAAGAAAAATATTTGGGGGCTGGAGAGATGACTCCGCAGTTAAGAGCACTGGCCTTGCAGAGGAGGATCCAGGTTTGGTTCCTAGCACCCACATGGCAGCTAACTACTATCTATAAATCCAGTTCCAAGGGAATCCAATACCCTCTTTTGACCTCTGCAGGCACTGCATGACACAGGTGCACATACATACATGTACACTCATACACACAAATTAAAAATAATTATTTTAAAAAAATTTTGTTTATGTGTAGTATATACTTGTCAGGGGGTGCCCTTGCAAAAGAGGTTAGTGTTAAATGTCTGCTATCATTCTTCCACCTTAGTTTTGAAACAGTCTCTAAACTGACTCTGCTCACCATTTCCACTAGACTGATTGGAGAATGCCCACAAGATCTGTCTTTCTGGGTTTACAGATGCATGCTGACACACCCAGATCTTACATGGGTGCAGTGGATCCAAATTCTGGCCCTCATGCTTATATGGCAAGCACTTTATTCACTAGGCCTTCTCTCCAGTCCTGAATAAGGATTCATAATTTTGTTTGGGATGGAAATAGTGTTATAGCTCTTTATTGGAAAGATTTTTACCTCATTTTGTAAAGAAAAAGTTATTTTAAAGCCGTTTATAAATTAGAATTTGTATTTTAGTTATTTTGTGAGTTATGTATGTGCACGCATGTGCCACAATGCACGTGTGGCAATCAGAGACAGTTCTCTGTCTCTACAAGATATCCAGGGACTGAACTCTGGTCTTCACACTTGGCAGCAAGCACCCTCACCTACTAAGAAGCCATCTCGCTAGCCCAAATTAGGAATGTTGAGGTTTTTTTTATTGTGGGGGGGTTGAGACAGGGTCCTCCCAGCTGGCCTGAAATTTGCTTTGTAGATCAGGCTAGCCTTGATCTCTCAGAGATCCACTTGGACTCTGTCTCCTGTGTGCTGGGATCAAAGGCAAGCACCATCTCACCTGGCTTTGATCCAGGTTTTTATTGTGGTTAGATGTGTCTAAAATTTACCATTTTAACTATTTTAATTATAAAATTGGTTTTAAACACATTTACAGTATTCAACTAATTCTTACCACCTTGCATCTCTAAAACTTTAAAAAAAATCAATTTAAACAGAAATTCTGGTCCATACTGCTCCATTCTACCCTCACCTAACCAGTAACCCACTTTCTGTCCCTTTTGTCTAGCTATTTCACTTTTCATGTTTTCAAGATTCATCCATATTATGGCATATGTCAGAACTGCTTTCCCAAGGCAGAATACTATGTTGCATGTCTATGCTACAACTTAGAAATTCTTCACAGGTGCCTACTTGGATTGCTTCCGCCCTGTCCCATTATGAATATGAGAGACTGCAATGAACATGAATGTACAAATACCTTGTTAAGTCCCTGATTTCAGTTATTTGGAGTATATACCCTGAAATGGAATTGCTAGACCATGTATTCCATGTTTAGTATTCTAAGGAACTTCCATATATAGTTCTCCTTAGCAGGTATGCCATTTTACAACCCTAACAGTGGCAAAGGGTCCAGCTTTTCTGATTTTTCTTAGATAGGCTCTTGGTGTCATACCCAAAGTCTTTGAAAAATTCAGTGTCGAGGTTTAATCATTTTCTGAGTTGCATAGTTTTAACTGTAAGAGAATTTGAATTGTGATATTCTTAACATTTTTTCAACCTCTAACAGACTGCGTCAAATTCCTGTTCAGCTTATGCAGTATCCAGCCCAAGCCATAAAGGTTCTCTTGGCAGGGTTTAAACCTCCCTTAGTTGACTCAGGAAAAGGAAGAATACCATACCGTCCCAAGTGGAGCATGGAGGCACTGTGGGCTATGATAGACTGTCTTCAGGGAAAGCAACTTTATGCTTCCTCTGTGGTAAGTATCCATCATAATTAGCCATTCTTTTTTTTTTTTTAATGTGTAATGCGTGTATTGCCTGCATGTAGGTAAGTGCGCCCATGTTGTGCAAAGCCCACAGAGGTCAGAAGAGGCTGTCGAATCCCCTGGGATTGGAGTTACAGTTGTTAGCTGCCATGTGGGTGCTGGGATTAGAACCCGGGTCTTCTGCAAGAACAACCAGTGTTCTTAACCACTGAGCAATCTCTTTAGCCCCATAATTAGCCGTTCTTTTAAAGATATTTTCATAGGCCCTGTTAACTTTGTAAAGTGCTTTGTTTCTACTTGAAAAAAAATAGTTAAAGCATATAAAGCAATGTGTACCATAGGAGTAAATATTAAGGCTAGTTAAAATGTTTTACTTTGGGGACTGGGGATGTAGCTTAGTTGGTAAAGTACTTGCTTTACATGCACAACACCCTGGGTTTCATCTGCAGTACTACATGAACTGAGTGTGGTATTCCACACCTGTAATCCTGCCACTTGGGAGGTAGAAGCAGGAGGATCACAAGTTCAGGGTCATCCTTGGCTTCAAATCAAGTTTGAGGCCAGCCTGGGTATATAAGGCCCTGTTATATCCACAAAAAAAGTGAGTTTTAACAAACTTTATGAGCCTTACAGTGATACATAGTGAAAAAGATAAAATGATAAAAATGTATATCCTTTAATCAAAGAACTTGTGAGTTGATGAAACAAGCATGCAAACCACTAATTAATCTGAGGTATACGGATGTAAGAGGCACAGTTGGAGGTACAAGTAACTCTGGGATGGGGAGAAATGCAAGCAATGATTTTCATCTGAAGCGATCAGAAAAAAATGTTAAAGGAACTTTAAAAAAATTTTATTTCTGCCAGGCATGGTGGCGCACACCTTTAATCCCAATGCTTGGGAGGCAGAATTCTGTGAGTTCAAGGCCATCCTGGTCTACATAGTGAGTTCAAGGCCAGCTGGGGCTACAGGGAGACCCTGTCTCAAAAAGACCAAAAAAAATTTTTTTTAATTTCTATTTTATGTGTATGAGTGTATTGCCTGCATGTATGTAAGTGCACCTACATCATGCAGTGCCCAGAGGTCAGAAGAGTTGCCTGGAACTAGAATTATGGATGGTTGTTAGCCACCATGTGGGTGCTGGCACTTGAACCTGGGTCCTCTGCAAGAGCAGCCCGTGCTCTTAACCACTGAGCTATCTCTCCAGCCCAAGCAACTTCTTATTAAGCACTCAAAAAACTCATTGAATATGTAGGCCAGGGAGTGACATGTGAGCCGTATCCTAAAATATGAGTAATAGAGATGGGGCCAGAGTTATGATCAGAGAGGCTTGAATTGTGAAATGGCCAAACCTGTATCAAAACTCCAGATGGTATTTAAAGTAGTAAACCTTTCTTCTTGAGGTTAGCATATCACTCACCAAGGAATAGCCCACTGGGCTATAGAACCTTGTTCTATATAGTATTCTAAAATTGGAAATATTTTCACATACACACACACACACACACACACACACACACACACACACAGAGGACTGGAGGGAGAGGGAGTGTTTCTGGCCTCTGGTTGAATATTTTAAAATCCAGAACTCACAGATCTTTATACAGGACTGAGCTGTGATGGTGATGTGGGAAGGTACCCTATGGGACACCCTTGGTGCTCATCACTGGTGTTCAGACCTCCCTGCTTCCTCCTTTGTGCTCTATCTAATCCTCTAACTGAGAATCCTATAAAGAATGAACTCACAATAAGGCTGCCAGAAAGTGCCTTTGGAAAGCTCCTGTGTATACCCTGCACTGACATAGACATAGTTCATGCAGTTTTTCTCACAAAGTCAGTGAAAATACAGACAGGCCAAGCATTTCTTGCCATTTTTCACCTTTATGAATAACAACCAGATTTTAGCTCAGGCATAACAGGGACAATATGAGAGACCATTGGCTCTATCTAGACAGGAGAGGCTTGAGGTTCATTACAGTTACAATAGAGTAGGAGAATGGAAGCAGTGGGATTTAGCAGAAAACCATCACAGATGCCCTTTGAAAGTAAAGTATGGGGGGCTGGAGAGATGGCTCAGTGGTTAAGAGCTCTGACTGCTCTTGCAGAGAACCCAGGTTCAATTCCCAGCACCCACATGGCAGCTACGAACCATCCTTGACTCCAGGTCCAGGGGAATCCGAAGCCCTCTTCTGACCTCCATGGCACTGCATGACATAGGTAGGTGTACTCACATACATGCAGGCAATACACTCATACACAAAAACATTAAAAATTAAAATTTAAAAAGTAAAGTATGAATTAGACATACGTCATCGTCACCCCTCCCTGTGAGAATAGCCAAATGTAGGAGTAAAGGGCATATTATTTGTGTTTTGTTTGTTGGTGAGTTTTTGTTTTGGTTTGTTGGGGATTTTTGTTTGTTTGTTTTAAGATCCTCCTGCATCTGTCTCTTTTTTAATTTTTCATTTTTTGTCTCCCTGTAGCCCCAGCTAGCCTGGAGCTCACTATGTAGGCCAGGCTGGCCTTGAACTCACAGAAATCTGCCTGCCTCTGCCTCCCCAGTGCTGGGATTAAAGGCATGTGCCACCATGCCCAGCCTGCATCTGCCTCTTGAGTACAAGGATTACAGGTGTTTACCATCATACCCAGCTAATTACTATTTTCTTTACAACTCTTTTAATTTTAGGCTCAGGCGCCAGAACAAATAGTGACACTATATGAAGATGAACAGTACCCAGTTCATATGTCCTTAATAGAAATGGGGCTTGCAGACAAAGATGAATAATGTAAGTGTACATCCTGGGGCACTTGTTTTAGTCAGCACAAGACACACGTGCCTGCTACAGCAGAGGTTAAGGCTAAATTGCTTATTAAAGCATCTTGGATATTGTGATTTCTCAAAAGATAAGAATCTCTTATCCAGATTTCATCATTAGGCTTTTCAACCTGCAGAACACCATTATCATGACAGCCTGTATTTTAAAAAGTATTTGGGATTGGCTGTCATAACAAACAGTACAAACAGAGAATTAATAAAAAGTTACTGAGCCGGGCATGGTGGCACACATCTCTAATCCCAGTACTCAGGGGGCAGAGGCAGGCGGATCTCTGTGAGTTCAAGGCCAGCCTGGTCTACATAGTGAGTTCCAGGACAGCTGGGGTTACAGGGAGACCCCGTCTCAAAAAGACCAAAAAAAAAAAAAAAGTGGTGCCCTAGGTAACTTTTTCTAAGACATAGTACCGATGGGTGCGGGTGAGAAAAGCAGATGCATGAGCACCACAGGTAATTTATGCTACTTACCATGTGGTAGACATACAGAACCACTGAATCAGCATGCTGCTAACAAAATGGTTAAACCCTTGGGGTACCCAGCTAACTCTACCCAGTGGTTCAACTAGACATTAACAACATTAAGCAGAGTTTTAAAGTAGCACATTTTGTTTTCCAGGTATGCAGTGCAGAGCATCTAGAGCAGCCCAGAAGAAAAGTTTTTTGTTGTTAAATTTGAGCCATTTCAGGTTTAATTTTCTTGTTCTGCAATGGTGTTGTCTTTTTTTTTTTAAATCCTTTATTCTTATTTGAACTGTTAAGAATAGTATTAAAAAAAGTTAATACTTGCTTTCAGTTTTGTTTGTACTATAATTTCAAAATAAAATTTAGGCACATAGAAATTTTAGTTCATGTTATAACTAATAATTCTGCTTTTAAAAAAAGTACTATTAGCACCATTAAAAGCCCCATAATCTCTCTATCACCATCCCCTCCACCGTTATAAAGTTGAGTGTGCTTATAATTTGGTTTTTTTTTTTACTGTGTATGAAAAAAATCTAATAAGATGTAATAATTTGGTGCCCTGGGTAAGGGGCTTTTTCTTAATTCTCTATTTGTTAATGTGTATATCTCTACAAACTTCACTACTATACTCATCTGGGTGCATAATTTTTAAAATTTTTATTGTATTTATTTTAAGATTTATATGTATGTGTTTCTGACATGTGTATAAGTGCCCATGGAGGTCAGAAGAGGGCATCAGACCCCTGGAGCTGGAATTCTAGACAGTTGTGAACCACTAGATGTTGGTGCTGGGAACTGAACTCAGGTCCTCTGCAACAGCAGCAAGTGCCCTTACCCACTAAGCTGTCTCTCCAGCATAATTTTATTGTAACTTAGGTTAGTTTTTTTATGAGTGTATTGCCTGCATGCATGTAAGTGCACCCATGTCATGCAGTGCCCACAGAAGTCTGAAGAGGGTGTCAGATCCCCTGGAATTGGAGCTATGGACAGTTGTTAGCCACCATGTCGGTGCTGGGAACAAAACGCAGGTCCTCTGCAAGAGCAGCCAGTGCTCTTAAACATTGAGCCATCTCTCCAGGTTCCAAGGTTAGTTGTTTCTTAATTGCATTCTCCTGTAGGGCCCTTATATATATGTGAGAGGTTTTCTTATACGTACATAGTAATAGAGTTTGCTGGGTAATTACTTAAACATAGTTACAGATTCCTGAAGATGGTGAACTACAGATGGCATTGCAAAGACGGCTAAAATCTCAGGGCAATAAACTGGGAATAGCCAGGCATGATGGTGCACACCTTTAATCCCAGCACTTGGGAGGCAGAGGCAGGCAGATCTCTGTGAGTTCAAGGCCAGCCTGATCTCAATAGTGAGTTCCAGGACAGCTCGGGCTACAGGGAGACCCTGTCTCAAAAAGACCGGAAAAAAAAAAAAAAACCAAAACCTGGGAACAGAGAGCAGCTGTTCTATGAGATGAGTGATAGCAGAAAAGCCATAGTTTCAAGTAACAAAGGCAGAAAGAAAACTTTGGAAAACAGGGGAAGCCCAGAGTCAGGTATGAAGTGCTGTCCTCTCTGTGGGAGTGCAGCTGAAAAAGGACTGAACCCCAGCCTAAACAGTGCTTCACAAAATTCTCATCATACTTTCAGTAACAGATAACTCAGGGACTTGGGCAGCAGCTGCACCAGCAGAAGGGGGGCCTTGTCAGGAAAAATCTTGTCTCTCAGCACTAGACCAGTCCAGTGGCACCAAACCTTCAAAAAACTAATACCAGTACTCCTCAAATTATTCTGTAAAATAGCAAGAACACAGGCCGGGCATGGTGGCACACGCCTTTAATCCCAGCACTCGGGAGGCAGAGGCAGGCAGATCTCTGTGCATAGTGAGCTCCAGGACAGCTGGGGCTAGAGGGAAACCCTGTCTCAAAAAGACCAAAAAAAAAACCAAATAGCAAGAACACATCAAAAAGATCCATCATGATCAAGTTGGCTTCATCCTAGTGATGGAAGGCTGGTTTAACACACTAAATCAATAAATGTAATCCAGCACATAAACAGACTCAAGGATAGAAACCACATGATCATCTCATTAGATGCAGAAAAGGTCTTTGACAAAATCTAACATCTGTTCATGATAAAAGTCATGGAGAACCTACGTACCTCAACATAATAAAGGCAATAATACTGCAACCCACACCTAACATCATACTAAATGGAGAAAAACTGAAAGCATTCCCATTAAAATAGGCACGAGACAAGGATGTCCACTCTCTCTATTCCTGTTCAATGTAGTACTTGAAGTCTTAGAGCAATAAGACAAATGAAGGAGATAAAGGGGAAATAAAGTGGAAAGGATGAAGTCAAAGTATCTTTATTTGCAGACAATATGATTCTATACATAAAGAATCCTAAAGACTCCACCTGAAAACTACTAGAGCTGATACATTCAGAAAAGTAGCAGGTTATAAAATTAATAGCCCCAAATCAGTAGCCCTCCTATACCCCAACAACAAACATACTGAGAAAGAGATCCACGAAACTATCTCATTAATAATAGCCTCAAAATCCATAAAATATCTTGGAATAAATCTAACAAAGGAACTGAAGGACATGTACAATAATAACTTTAAGATATTGAAGAAAGAAACTGACAAAGATACCAGATGATGGAAAGACCACCTGTGCTCATGGATTAGTAGGATTAATATTTTGGAAAGGGCCAACCTGCCAAAAGCAGTCTACAAATTCAGTGCAGTACCCATTAAAAGTCCAACACAATTCTTCACAGAAATTGAAGGAGCCAAAGATACACACTGTTGAAAATACAGCATGTTCAACAAACAGTGCTGGTCAAACTGAATAAAGGCATGTAATGTAGATGAATGAAACTAGATCCTTCTCTCTCACCAAAGACCTCAACCCAAGACCTGATACCCTGAATCAGAGGAGAAAGTGGAGAATACACTGTAACTTACAGACACAGTAAAGGACTTTGAGAACTAGATTCTCTAACACAGTCATTAAGCCCAACAATTGACAGATTGGGACCAAATGAAACTAAAAACTTGTACACCAACCATGAGTGAAAAGGCAACCTACAGAAAGGGAAAACATCTTTACTAGCTGTCCTAGTTTGTTTCTTCATTGCTGTGACAAAACACTCTGACCACTACCAACATGGGGAGAAAGGGTTTATTTGGCTTACATCTCCCAGGTCACAGTTCATCAGGGAGCCCAAGGTAGGAACTCAGGGCAGGAACCTGGAGGCAGGAGCTGAAACACAGGCCATGGAGGAGTGCTGCTTACTGGCTTGATCCCCTGGCCCCTGCTCAGCCTGCTTTCTTATGCAACACAGGCCCAGCTGCCCAGGGGTGGCACTGCCCACAGTGGGCTGGGCCCTCCCACATCACTCAACAATCAAGGAGAAGCCCCCGCAGACATAGCCACAGGCCAGTGCTATGGAGGCAATTCCCCAATTGAGGCTCCTTCAACTCAGGTGTGTCAAGTTGACACTAAAACAATCCAGCACGCTAGCTATACTTCTGACAGAAGGTTAGTATCTAGAATATACAAAGAACTAAAAACATCCCAATTAAAAAGGGGGCAAAGAACTGAATAGGGAGTTCTCTAAAGATGAAATGCAAATGACTGGACAATATTTTTTTTTCCTGGTCTTTTTGAGACAGGGTCTCCCTGTAGCCCCAGCTGTCCTGGGACTCACTATGTAGACCAGGCTGGCCTTGAACTCAGAGAACTGCCAGCCTCTGCCTCCCAAGTGCTGGGATTAAAGGCATGTGTCACCACACCTGGCAGAAAATACTTTTTTAAAATGTTCAACATTTTTAGTCATCAGGGAGGTGCAGATTAAAACCACTTTGAGATTTCATGTACCCAGTCAGAATCTCTAAGATCCAGAAAAAAATCAATGATAAATGCTGACAAGGATGTGAAGAAAGGGGAACTCTTATCCATTGCTGGTGGGTACAGCCAATATGGAAATCAGTCTGGAGATTCCTCAAAAAGCTCAAAATTGATCTGCCACATGACCCAGCCATACCACTCACTCTTGGTCATATACCCAAAAAGACTCGAAACCTTACCTCAGAAATACCTGTTCAGCAATGTTCACTGCTGACCTTTTCATAATAGCCAGAAATAAGAAACAACCTAGATGTCCAATAACTGATGGATAATGGTGTGACACATATACACAATGGAACATCATTCAGCTCTTTAAAAAAATATTAATTTTCAAGTAAATGGATGGAACTGGAAATAATCATCCTGAGTGAGGTAACCCAGACCCAGAAAAAACAAACATCGTTGCACATTCTCTCTCATAGCTGGATGCTAATTTTCAAAGCTTAGATATGAAGCCAGGTGTGGTGGTGGCGCATGCCTTTAATCCCAGCACTTGGGAGACAGAGGCAGGTGAATCCAAGTTCAAGGTTGGCCTGGTCTACATAGTAAGTTCCAGAACAGCTGTGGCTATAGGG